TGGATTCTAGTGATGAACAATTTCGATGATAAGGCATATCGATGGCTGAAACAGACGGACTAGAGTTACTACAAAAGGAGAAAAGCAAACACGCCAAGGTAATAGAACACTTACAAAAAAAATAGCGGGTCTAGAGTACCGACTTTAGAAGAGCTTACTGGCTGATCGTCATCCCCACTAGCAAACATCTGAGACAGAGGGAACGAGAGTAAAAAAATGACCAACAAAGAAACCGATGCAAAAAGGAATTGGAGAAAATGTGGAACGAAACAGTTAGCAAAGGAACTCGTACCAATTAATACCAGGATCAAAAGGATAGTTGTAGTGGTCCTCCTCCAAAAGATTGCTAACACTCCAAAAGCTATGAAAGATCACCATGACCACAAACGGTGCTAGCGTATCCACTATAGTTCACAACGCAGGGCAGATACACACCATAATCACTAAAAGCATGAGAGTATAGAGAAGCCATCCCGAAGAACAACAAACCACCGTGTAGAAATCGTCGGACTCTGATCAACAGAGAACCTCAACAGAGAGAGGAATAGGCTTATTGCTTAAATATATTGGTAGTTGTCCTATTGTTGCACAGGTGTTGCACGATACACGTTTTAGATAGAACTGCATGAGATAGAACTGTCTGACGCAATTTACGGCGTTACACATAGGTAAACTAAAACCTTATTCTGCTGACAATGACCCATGACACATATCACTTTGTTACCAAAACCGTCAGAGGTCACACAACGTGTATATTCCTAAAACTGCCAACTACTCTAATCAATATCCTATTACGTTTTCATGCACTTCAAGTAAGATAGTTGTATAGTGTGAGTACGTGTTATGACGAATACTAAAGAAAAAATTGAGTTGAATATCGACTTATCATTAAATGGTAAGTTTGGGGTGTATAACACTAATAACGAGTTAACAAGAGCTTCCTCTGTTGTAATACCCCTGGTTAGAGATGACAATGTCAGAGCGAGCCCACCCTTTTCGTATCCTAGGAGTATATATTCCCTTCTTATAAAAACTAAAGAAGAATAGTATAGGAATACAAAAAGAGTTGCAGACGAAAAGAATCGAGGCAAAAGTGAGGTGGCCTGAAAAGATAAAGAGGAATTTTAGAAGTCACGGGCCATTGTTTGGGCGACGCACAACACAGGGTTCATTGGGGTTATTAGAAATGCCGCCATGCCGGAATTAGAGAGTAAATCCCTCTAAGGTACTAGACTATCTTTTTTTGAATTCAGTGCTATTTTTTGTTTGTTTTTTGTTTTTTTTTTTTCCTGAATATTCTGCTATTGTTTGTCTAATTCTTTAATTTGATTTTTTTTTAATATTAGGTCAATTTGATATGAAATTTGTGCTTAACATTTATATGCTCTATCAATTTTAGGTGATTTGGAAGAAAACAAACTGCATTGCAAAACCAAGCTTGTTCTTTCTTTTGGTTGGGTGTTGGAGTTGTGGTTGCAAGTAACATTTTGCATTATTTTACTTCATTTATTGTGGAAGATGCAAATTTTTTGGGAAAATGATAGTAGAGTGTTATTGTCTAATTATTGCCAAACACACACACACACACACACACACACACACACACACATATGTATAAGGTGTGAGAGAGGTAGGTCTGTAACTCGGGCGGGCTAGGCCCATATAGAAAATCTTTAGCCCGAGCCCATTCTAAGCCCACCTTAGAAGAATTTGTATGCAAAAAATAAATCAATTAATGTTGCACCCATGACTTGAATCTGAAATCTTAAACAGAAATCCCAAGTACACTACAATTTAGCTACTACACTCTTGTGACTTAAGTATAATTATAAATATATATAATATTTTCGGACTCGGGTTGAGTTTCAGGGTTCATCCATATCAACCCAAGCCCAGCCCGAATTGAATTCGGACTCAAAATATATAGTCCAGGCCCAAACCGAAATTAGAAAAATATTAGCCAAGCGCACAAAATTTCGGACTGGGCTCGGGTTATTTCGGATTGAGCCTACTCGAGTTACAGCCCTAGAGAGAGGTACTGTAGGCACATGCATGGTTTATTCCCGTAGTGTGCAACACTACTTGGGGTTTCAGGAGTCAAAAATGAAGTGGGGAGTGTAGTGTTGAATTTAATTTGAAATTTGTCATATTTATAGAAATCAGTGAGACATTAAAAAAACTACTATGCCTAAGCTAGGATTTTGTTATTCATTATATTTTTTAAAATAAAAATTAGGTTAATAGAAGTAATTAGTATCTTGAGTAATTTTTACAAGTTTCAATTGAATGACAGGATCTAGCAGTTGTAAGGAAGCAAGTTATGTCAGTTTTACATTGATTGAAGAGCAACGTAATAAGGATCCTGTGGCTTCTTCCATTGAAAATGATAACAGAATTTTTACTCCAGAAAACAAAGGAAGAGAGGCAGAGGGGAAATTCCGGTGGAAAACATGCATCGTGGTTTGAGAGGGTCCCAACGGGCGACGGGTAGACGGATTCTTGTATAAATACGAAAAATGTGTAGAAATAAATATAATGTGCGTGTCTAGCTTTTTCTCACCGGCCGAGTTTGTCAAGCACGGTGGTGGTGACGATGTAGTTAACCCACTCAAACATATAATTATAAAACCCAGAATAAATTTATTTATTTATTTATTATTATTATTATTATTATTATTATTATTTTCGTGACAGTAGCGATAACGTAATTAAGTAATACACCCGGACATAGTTGTAAGATCACACCAGGTTTGACATAGTTGTAAGACTGCAACCATTTTTTTTTTAAAAAAAAAAAGAAAAGATTTGAGTTACTACTACCAATTTATTCCATGTTTTTCAATTGAAATGTATAAATTCATGTTTTTGGTGATGGAATAAAGCAATACAGCACGACACTTTTTATAACAATTATTAGAGCTTTTGGTTGTACGTTACTTTCAACCTACAGTGCACGAAATTTTCATACTTTAGAGGTGGTGCCTAACACATGTAAAACATGAAAATAACACGTTAAAAACAATTATTCAAATTTTAGAATATTCTTCTATATAACTAGTATCCTATTAAAATATTCTACCATGCATTTTTTCTTTTTTCCTAAACATAAAATTCGTCAGGATTTTGGTATAACATCTGGCAATCCACTATTTAAGACAATTAATCAACTTCTTGATAATTTTGTTTATCAAAGGTGAGTCAGATGTTCTTAAAGATTTCTTCTCTATTGCTAATATTGTACAAAGAATATATTTTTTAACCTTCACTTCTTATTTATTTTTTAAATAAATAATATATAATAGGATTCAATTACTATTAAAACTAAAAAACTTCACTACTTATATTTAATAACCATTTAAAAAACATATTTATTTCCTAAAAGGTCTGAAATTAAAGTTAAGAGACACTTGACTTGTCCTTACTCCTTATAAAAACGAATCTCAAGGTTTTTGTTCGATAGCACATGTTCTTCGTGTCTCCTCGAAACAACAGTGTCCCTACAAGTTACTATTCCCGCGTTTTGTGGGATCAAAATAAGCAACATACAAAGCATAAATTAAACCTTGTTCTCTCCATTCTTTGCTGGTTCTCTTCTTCTTGTCCTCCTTTTACCTTCCTCTCTTGCACCTGAACTAGAGCAAAATGTTGATCATAACCTTACTATCGCCAGTAGTTCTATTCTTTTCCAGCCTCATCCATACTCTTTTCACCTTCCCCACTAAGAAGTTCATGGCCTGGTTGCAATCCTTGGTAATCAGAGCTCCTTCCCATGCATCCACCAACCCTACCGATGCTCAAAAGAAGGCAACGAGTGGTACCCGGAACAAGGCCGAGCTCAAAAGTGTGTTCGCAACGTTTGACAAGAACGACGATGGCTTTATAACAAGGCAAGAGCTCAGAGGGTCACTCAAGAACATTGGAATCTTGATGACGGAAAAAGAAGTCTTGGACTTGGTTGAGAAGGTGGATTTGAATGGGGACGGGCTCATTGATCTCAAGAATCAATGGTGAATCGAGAGGAAAGGACCGCAGAATTAGATGGGAAGGAAGAGGAGGAGGAGGACAAGGCAGAGGTTGAATTGAAGGAGGCTTTCGATGTTTTTGATGGCAATGGAGATGGGTTAATAACAGTGGAGGAGTTAGGAATGGTGTCATCATTTATGGGGTTGAAAGAGGGGAAGAGGTTGGAGAATTGCCAGGAGATGATTAGGAAGGTTGATATGAATGGAGACGGTAAGGTTAATTTTGATGAGTTCAAGAGGATGATGAAAGGTGGTAGAACGCTTGTTCCAGTTTCCTAATCTCCCTCTCTCACACACACACATTCCAGGGTAAGATGAACATAATATATGAAATGGTCGAGTCTCTTCCTATTTTCTAGATTGTAATTAAATATTACAGTTGTGTACCCTAGTTGCATAGACTGTAAAAGAATGATTACTTGCTAAACTCTCCTAAATTTGCAGAGTGTAGTCCAAGGATGGCAACCATAACCATTATCATATTTTAGGTGCACAAGCATACCATGGATATATATCAACCAGTAGCAAAAACAGAATCTTTCCCAAAATGAAGTAGAAAAGTGCGGAAAATGGAAACCTCCATGCACCTAAAGCAGCAACTCTAGCAGCCAACACCAGTTTCTGCATGCGCGTATTCATGCTCGTGTAATGATGTTAACAGACATACATGTCCCCCACACCTCAAAATGCACACTTAAGTCGCACGCGAAATGAAAAAATATTGTAAACTAGTGCTTACCAGTTTCTATAACCTATTCTGATTATTTCAACATCCATTTCAAGCTCCAAAAGTACTTAAATCACAAAAGCAAATGTATGACAGGCACGCCAGTCCTTTCTGTATTATGATTGAATCTGGAGTTGAAAAGAAGCGCAAGCATACCAGCACACGACAATTTTAGGACAAACAGAGTTGTTATAAATGCATTCAGCAAGGATTGTAGTAAGAATGGAATGCAACTGAAATAGTAACAAGCATTTGAAAGCATACACACGCGAGTCCTATTATTTTTAAAACCTTGCAACATTCGTGAGTAACAAATCCAATTTAAAATAAAAAGAAACAGAGAAACACAAACTCTGAGGTCTTTAGCCAAACTTACTCATTGGGCATGAAATAGGGCAGCAACTGCATGGCCACTCCCCAAAGGACCCAACAGATATAACTAATAATACCATCCGAGTAGGACTTAAATATACACTAGCATGTGATCCTTGTGCCAAAGATTATCTATCGGTTCATTAGAAGACATCAGGATGGAAACGGCCCGGGATGGAGTTACTTTGTTGAGCTTGCTTGAGGTGCATCGTAAGAGCGTAATTATTGACCTGGTTCATCAAAAGGTTGAATAAAAATCATCAGATTCAAGAGTATAGATAAAGCCATTGAAAGGAACTTAAACCAAAGGGCACTGAAAGAAACCTAAACCAATAATATGGTTTGGAGATTCAATAAATAGGGCAACCTAGTCAGATTACATTAATACAACCAGGTAAAAGAGAAATAAATGTGCAGTGCTGCTGCCAAAGATTACCCTTGAGAAGACGTGTTATAATTGCACAATGTTTGATTAAAATTTAAAAAATCAAGGCAATAGGTTTGTTGTCAACTACCAACGGGTTTGAATGAGAAAGAACCTTTTACCGTTACAAAAGATTTGTGTGCGTTCATCTCCTCTCTTTTTGTACTTTTCCTTTTCCCTTTTTCCATTCTAGTTTTCTTAACCAAAATACTATTGCTATTAAGACCATATATATAAAAATAAAAAATAAAAAAAAGCATTTTGGGTTTGGCATCCTCACCTCAAGGGTTCTCAGCTGTTCCTGGTATTGAGATACCATCTGCTTCAGATGATGTAGTTCCTGGCTCCTATCCTCGAACTCTTTCTGGCGCTCATGTTGGATAGACACCGCTCGTTTAAGGATTGTGTTTTCATGAATCAATAATTCTACTTGTTGCTTCCGCAGAATGTTCTCCTACAATATGACAACAAAAGTCACCACCAATTACATTCTACATTCCCCAGACTCAAAACCATCCAAAGAAATTAAATAAAAAAACCTCTTAAAGATAATGATTTTCTAGCAATAGCAATAAAAGATCTGCATTGAAAGAGAAGTTCATGATACAAAATTAAGAAACATGCACACACAAACATAACCACCTGCTGGAAGCTTTGGGTTGCCTCTGCCTTTGCACGTGCACAAATGGACTTCTCCAAGACCTCAAGCACTCTGGATGCACGGGCTCTAGCATCATCTATGTTGGTGGCACTCATCATTTCTCTAACAAAGAGCTCCACCCACTCTGCCCCACCCATCGGCAGGTTTTGCTGAGCCAATGCATCCTCAGTAGAAGTAACATCATCATTATTTGTCGCCAAACCTGCAACACAAATGTTAAAACAGTACTGCTCCTCCATTCAGAAACTGCAAGTAGGACTTAAGTCGAAAGCGGCCTAAAAATGTCGAATAAATGATCTGATACATAACTAATTCTGCTCAAGGCAACACTTTCACCTGTTATATGATGTAATGTTGAAGACAGCATCTGAAAGTATAATGATAATCCAATAAAATATAATTCTAGATAGAGTAGTCACTAAGGAAGCACAGATTGCATTAGTTCTCAAACATAATTGAATTAAAGAAACCGTAATCATATGCACGAGCACTGTTCTCTATTTTGTTTGCTATATGAAGAGAGGAAAGGGGAAGGGAGTCTATTGGTCTTCAGAGAGCACCTAAAGATCCCATTTACAAGGAACTTCACTGACATGACAAACCACCAGAGACAGCAAGAAATAAGTGACTGTACCCATACTGTAGTACAAAAAGGTATATTTTTTTTAGAGTTAACTATAAGAGAGAAAGAGACACATTCTTTGAGGGTTAACTATGAGAGAGAAAGAGACAGATTGGTTGAGGATGTTAACCCCGAGAGAGAGAGAGAACGTGGGGAGAAGAGAGAAAAAAAGCTGCAACCACAATCTTGATCCTTGCAGCAAATGAAAGAAATCTCATGGATCAGGAAAAATATTTTAGAGAAGAATATTTTTCCAATTATCAAACTTCCCGGTGAAAATGGAAACATTTCGATTCCTTAGTGTGTTTCTATTCAATCTTGGTCACCCAAGTGCTAAAATCGTCTTTGGGGCAATCGATAACATTCTTGAAAGGGCCAACGGATAATGTTCTTCGAATTAATAATGCAAATTTTCCATGTAGAACAAAGAAGAGTGTGGAATAAATTTCTAAATACCAAAAAATAATGCATCTCCTGAAAAATAAGAGAGAAGACTCTTGAGATTTCTAATGGAATTTGGCAAGAGACTGATCTTATTTTTTTTCTTTTGATAAATCTGGCAAGAGATTGATCTAAACTAAAACAATTGAATAAGAACTATATCCTTACCAAGAATATCAGACCATTCAAAATCAAGGGTGAAACACAATAGAATAGAATAGTCCTCATTAGGTTGGGATGATCTAATTCATTTAAAAAATTTATGCTTCAAATTTGACAGCATAACAGAATGGACTTCACAAATTTTAGTCTAAATTTGAAAGAAACAAAAAAAAAAAAAATTGCTTTTTGATATCCAATCCAATAACTTGCTGAATTTTTTTTTTATTACTATAATAGCAAAAAGAACTATCAAACTAAATTTTGACCCCATTGGCAGACATCTATTCTTGCCTTAGTTAGAAAACTTTCTTTTTCCTTAATGTAGGCAACAAGAATTGAACACCCAATCCTTTTAGATTCCAAGCCAGCACATTCACCACTGTGCTAAAAAGGTTTCTGCAAAAAGGGTGCTAAAAAGGTATTGTCTTATGAGAGATGCAAAACTTGAGGCATGCAAGAAACCAAAAATAGTAGGGGGTCATTGTAAAAAAACCATTACTTAATGCTTAACCAGTCTAAGAGTCACGAGCCAAAATATATGCAAAATAAATTAAAAACAACAAATAGGCAACTAGACAAACATAAAAAAATAAATAAATAATACTTTTGGAGAAAGGAATGTAAGAGAGAGAGAACATAATGAATGCAATAATTCTAAAAGTGATGACTTTATTCAGTATGATAAGAACTATAAACTTATTAAAATATGATTCCAGGATCAAACAAGGTTAAACCTATAATTTCTCGACCTCGAGAAAGCCACATTACATGAAACGACGCAACTAGTGCTTAAAAGATTACATGAAACACTTAAAATCGTCTTTGATTTTTCTGAAGTGTTAACTAAGATATTGCTTTTTTACCAGGGTTTCATAATAAAATAAAAGGATTATATCTTGGAGAAGAAAATTAAAGGTAAACAAGTTCTCGTATGTAAGCAATTACAAAATTAAATCCTACACACAGGAACACAAAATCTAGGAGAAATAGAATCATCTAACTTTACTGAAATTGAATTTTGAATATATCAGAAGAAATTTTCTATTCACACCTTGAGTTTGAAGTTGAACTTCCTGTTCCACGTCAGTGTTGCCATCAGCAGAGCCCAATTTCTCAGCAGATCCCAAGCGTAGCTCATTCAGACTTCTGATAGCCGAATCCAGATCATCACCACATTCTTTTAGCACTCTCTCAAGAAGCTAAAAGGCAATATTCTGAAATGGTTAGTAACTTGTCATGCTAACTAAGACACTTATATTGCACATGCTCCAAAAACAACTCATTTATATATATATATATATGTAGAACAAGTAAAATGGATAACACCAACAGAAAAAAAAAATTATACATATCAAAGAAAACCAATGAACAAAATATACATGAAAAAATTGAGATTAGAAAAAGGAAATTCATATCAGAGTGAACAAATGAATGGATATTGATAATCATCAAGAAATAAAATGCTAGTTCATACAGCACAAGACATGCCACGTAAAACTATTACACAGCTGAAAAATCTCAAGCTAATAGAAACAACAACTACAAAAATAATTAGAGTAAAAACATAGGTATTCAAACTTTATGGACCAGTATTACTTATCAAATATATATATATATATATATATATATATATATATGGCCCAGCCTCAACTCAGCATTCTCAGCCAAAAGCAGACTGAATAGGTTGGATGTTAGAGACATGATCCTTGTGAAATATAATTCTTATCCATTATGGTTAAAGCAATCAGGATCAATGGATCATCAGCTCCATCTTGAGGTTTTAACTATTGTTTGCCAAGTCGAAAAGAGAACAGCAAAACAACCACAAAAGTCATCTTTTTTACTTCATATGGATATGAAACAATTAACTAAAGTATAAAAATATTTCCTTTGCTGGAGTATGTAATACAGATAATGTAATTTTTTAAATCCAGCCGATCGACTTCCAACCAAAATGTCTCTAATACTGCTGATATCTTGTCTCCATTACTGTTCATATAACATGCTCCTGAACATAGTCGGTAAGCATGAGAACCATGGCCCAGCAAGGACTGACTAACTGGTATATAGAGGAAGGAGCTCTCACTCTCGAGAACTATCCCACTCACATTCCCACTGGGAGACCCCAAAATCCTTTATAAAATTCTTCTGCTATACTACAACACACACTAGCTTGTGCTTTCTGACTATTCACCAATAGAATTGCTGAGATATTTGTAGTCTCGTAAAGGTGAAGTCCTACTTACATAGGCTATCAAAGGATAATAAAATTAACACAGCAGTAGGAAATAACAGTTAAAGAATATACAAGAGTGGTCTTGCTGTTCACCAAGAGACACCAATAACAGACTCCTACCAAGTAAATCAGGATTCACTTAATGGACAAGTCATAGTTCTGACAACCAAAATACAATATATTAATCTTGAATTCCTAATCAACGTTACATGTTTTGAACATCCACGTCTCACTGAATACACACACACACACACACACACACAAAAAAAAATTGTGACTATTTTACTAAACTCAAGGATGTCAAGGAATTTTGTGATGTGTCCCTTTGAGATCACAACTGAACTGTAAAATCAAAACCATGTCCAAAGACAAGTTTAATTGCATTCAATTTTGCATGTATGTATAATATGCATACGTAGGCATATATATGAATTATGAATACAACAAGTGTATGTATGTTTCAAAACAAAATTAAGTGAATTAACCCTACAATATGGAATATCTTTTATAACGGTGTTATATCAAACCAAATTCTAAAAAATAACTCTTCTGGGCTTGAGAAAAAAACTCTAATAAAATTAAGTTAATCATCTAATCAAGTACCCAATAATAACTCTAAACCCATAATTCCTTGAAAAAACACAACCACTATTTACTAAGAAATAAAATATGATATAGTACAAAAAAATTAATACAAGAAACTATTTTACCGACTGAAATTTATCAAATTGAGGAAAAAATAAAAAGGGTTCAAAATTGAATAAATAGGAGGGGAAAAAAAAGCATAACAGACCTGTCTGTCCATATCAGGAAACAGAGCTGTTAGATGATCGAGCCGCGAAGAGCGCGATGGTGAAAAATTAGCCGGCGAACCAGTGGTGGGGCTCGGGGGAGGGAATCGAACCGGCGACGAAGAACAGCGAATTCTCTTGGCAACGGGCGGCGAGGATGGAAGGTCTTCGAAGAAAGATGATGATCTCTTGCCGCACACTATTGCAGACATGATGTGCTCAATTTTTCGTCCTACAATCTGAGCGAAGACCGATTCGCTTCCTCTCCAATCGTATCGCTCATGCAGCGATTGACCTCAATTTCAATCTAACGATTGCTCACGTTCTGAATCGGTTCTTAATTCCACCTAATCGCAGAGAGACAAAGAACTCCCTCTCTCTCGAAACCACTAGATTGTTTTGGATTGAATGAAATAGAGATCTTTGTATCTTCTCTCTCTAGATCGATTGGGAGATTTAAATGAGTAAAGGAAAAGACTAGGGTTTTTCTCTCTCTAAATATTAGGGTTCGGTTTCAGGATTGATTCATTCCTCTCCCGCTTAGATAAGCTTGGCTTGTCGACTTTAATTTATGTCTATGTGAAGCAGATAATGATGAAGAGACGGGCTTGTGATAGATAGGAATTCTGAATGACTACTTAAAGAAATCTAATGTACGAAAAAGGAAATTGTATTTGTTGCAAAGTGTTACGTGGCGAGATTCGATTGGTCTTTGTTTCCCTTGCGGTAACAAGTGATTTCTTTTCTTGGAAATTCTAAAATTTTAAAAAGAAAAAGTTGGATATCCCTTGTTGGATTGGAAATCGTATATTACTTGCCCCCAAAAACGGAAATCGTATATCCAGAAGACACCTCACCTTGATGTTTATCTGGAGAGCCGTTGGATTAGATTACTTCAGCTGAATGCAAGTCATTGAGTTTTATCATCGGACGGTGAGGAAAGGTGCTAAAGCTAAAGGTTACCTAATTTAAGTGGAAAAAGACTTCCATGCCGCCGGACCATTGTTCTCTAGCCGTTGGATCAATGTTGTGAACTTGTGATTTCTTTGTGTTTGTAAAAATAAAAAAATAGTGTATATGTATATATATATATATATATATATATATATATAATACTCTTGTGGGCCTATAAACTCTCAATTTGAAAGTAAGATTTAATTTGTTCCCTATTTGTTTGGATACTTTCGAAAATAAATATCACGCAACTTATAAACGTTTGTTCCATTTTTAACTCACATTTCAAAAGTTAGTTGACAGATGTGTCAGACTATTTTTTACATGTAAAAAGACATTCTTACCATTTGATTTTGGTTTGACTCACTAAATTATTTCTTTAATGATTCAAATGACACGTTTACTTTCAATTGACTAATTAAATTATTTCTTTAAGTATTCAAATAACATATTTATCCTTATTTTTTCAGTGAAATCAACTAACCTTCTTTAATTGCAAAATTTTTTTACCAGTAATTCTTTTGTAATTGCTTGTTAATTTGAACCTCATAAATACGAAAAAATGTAGGTAAATTTGAGAGTGATATTTTAAAAAATATTTTTAACTTGTAATTACAAATTTTATTTTTGAATATGTAATTGCCAATTTTTTAAAAAAGACATTAATTTTGAATCCAGAAGCATCATCTATTTCCAGTATGTGTTCTATAGAAGATTTACCTATTTCTTTTAATTAGATATTACTCATTACAATAATAAGATAAGTAGACCTCTCGAGCTGAGTTGGTCAAGAACTCCCACAATTTTGTATAATTATTGTGTGTAAGTTTTTAATTTTATCTAAAGTTTTATCTCTCTCCTGTCATTAGAATGCAATTAAACCATTTTGTAGCAAGGAGTACAAGTTGAGAGTTTTTTTTTCCTCTTTTAATCTAAATGAAGCTTTTTTTTCTGTAACTTCAGTACCTTATGTCACGTTGTGATTCCTAACGACGCCATGAGCATAGAAAACACGCATGCTGGTTGGTTAAGAGCATTCATTGACTGGGAATGGTTCCAGGGAAGGGGCGTGCAGAACCACAGGATGGTACGTCTTTAGAGTTCAGGCAGGTCAACTCGGTTCAATTCGAGGTGCTTGTCGCTGGTTGTGGACTTGACTATGAAGAAGGGAGTTGTCCATCCATGCACAAACTGATTGGGAGTTGGAGTTGTTCCCCAGACGAGGCCAAGGCAGGACGAAACCAATTAGCATGTATTCTTGAGAGGGCAGGTCGTGGTGGCTAATCAAGGCGCTTGCGCGAGTTGAAGCAACGTCTTGGTGTCGCACGGGCTGTGTTGCTGCGCCAAATCTCTAGGCCCGTGACAAATGGTATCAGAGTAGGACTTGGAGTAAAACACAGAGGTGTGCCCCCTTGTCGATCCGGGGGTTTTGAGAATGAAGTGGGTGCACTGAAGCATCGGTGGGTAATCAATGCTGTTGGAGGAGAGCCTCCATCTCCCTAGGAGGATGATTTTTTTAAAGGCTGGAGGGCTACGCGCACCAAAGTTTTTACAAGTTCAAGGGGATGCAAACCGTTGTGAAGGGCGGGTATCAAGTTAGCTGAAGGGCCCTTATTTGTTTGGGGTGTCACGGATGTGGCATAACGTGGGGTTGCGTCCCGAAGAAGTGGGCGTCCTTTTAGCCCGAAACTCTATCATTGGGCGAGTGCAACCAGGGGTTGTACAAGGAAGTGATGGTGGGCAAGCGAGCATACCACTTGGAGGAAAAAGACTTTGGAATGTTGGACATAGTGGAGTCAACGTTGTACTGCGACTAGGGCGTCGCAGCACTCAGGTGGGAGAGTGTCACGTTGTGATTCATAATGAAGCCATGAGCATAGAAAACACGCATGTTGGTTGGCTAAGAGCATTCATTGACTGGGAACGGTTTCAGGGAAGGCGCGTGCAGGGCCACAGGATGGTAACTCTTCAGAGTTCAGGTAGGTCAACTCGGTTCAGTTCGAGGTGCTTGTCGCTGGTCGTGGACTTGACTATGAAAAAGGGAATTGGCCATCCCTGCACAAACTGGTGGTCGGGAGTTGGAGTCGTTTCCCTGACGAGGCCAAGGCAGGCCGAAACCAGTCAGCATATATCCTTGGGAGAGCAGGTCGTGGTGGCTGATCAGGGCACTTGTGCGAGCTAAAGCAACGCCTTGGTGCCGCAAGGGCCGTGCCGCTGCGCCAAATCTCTAGGCTCGTGACACTTGGCTACCTTGTTTTTCTATCTGGGTTGTTTTTAAATTTTGGGAATTGCCAAAATTATATTAATTTCATAATTTTTTTAATAGAAGAAAAAATATTTGATTTTGATGCTTCATTAGTTATACAAGATTAACATGATTTCATGGATTTTATTATAATCTTGATGGTAATACTGTCTTCCACGTGGACATATTTACATGATTTAACTAAACATGTGATTTTAACTAAACCCTGGAATAGCCCTCTGTTTGCAAACGAGTCTCCGCCTTCACTTCCACCACTATGGACTTTGTCGCCGCTTAAACTGGTCGGCTTCGGCTGGGCGAAGCCTGGAAGAGAGCCGGAAGCTTCTAAACTAAACCACCATCGCGATGCCCTTTCCTCAGCAATTGGATTTTACAGGAATCGAGGACGTGTCGAAGATCGTGAATTCTTCTGTCTCCGGTGAATTGGTCTGTGGCTCCTATATGTAGAGAATAGAGACAGACAAAAGAATTGTAGACACATAAGCGCCCCTTCACCAAATAAGAAATAGAGGAGAGAGAAATGACGGGGTAGGTAGGAGTTTAATTAGGGATATAGTAGTCATTTAGGTTATCTGACATTTTGGAATAAATATGATTAAAAAATTAAGGGCAAAGTTGTCTTTTCTCATGTTTTTAACGGATGCCGTGACAGAAAAGCGAAAATGGACCTAAGTGACAGTTATTTTCGAAAGATATTTGAGACTGATATTTAGTCAAACATAAGATGGTGTTAGTGAAATTAACCTTCTTTTTTTATAAAATATATAATTTTTGTTTTTTGGTATTTTATTGTCATAAAATATTTACAAAGGAAAAAAATATTAAAATTTAACAAAAATAACAACACATCAATTTTTGACAAGTTATTTTACATACCTAACCCGATAGACTCAACCTCATTTACATCAAAACAAACAGAGTCAAGCCTCGATAGTTCAGGATCATCTAATAATTTCTTATCAAATAGTAATTGGGTTGGTCCGAAAACATATAATAATTTTTTAGAGATGGGTCAATTAAGTGTTGTGGCAGTGTCAGAATGTTTGAAATACGGTTGGACACGTGTCTTACACAATTATAAGTATTTACAATTTAAAATGTTAGTTTGTATTAATTTCATTCTAGAGAAAGTTTGGTCTGGTAATATTGCTCTAGTGTTTGTTCGCTCGTCTGATCAAACGGTTAGATAAACATGACTAGCTAGACTACGGATCAAATATGCCAAGAACATCTTTACGTATGCAACACAAACGAATACTTTGTTAAAAAACCACAGGCTGAACTTGAATTTTAAAATCTAATTGGGTAACAATGTAAAAACAAAAACAAGGCTCACGAAGCCTAATAAACAATATAAGTGTCTTCATATATTATGTTTTGTTATTTTGTCTGAGCACTGTTCTTACTTCTCATGCTAAAATGTAGCGAAATGAATAATAGAGAAAGTGAGAAAAAAAAGAGTAAAAATTGAAAGAAAAAAATTGAAACATTCTTTACAATGCATATTGAGAATTTGAAAAAAATAATATTTTTTATTTGTATAATAATATATTTTTATTTATTACTGATATACTTGAATCACCCTTGATACAAACTCGCAATTGGGTCAGCTTATGGGTTTAGTAAGGATAGAATTAGAGAACATGGATAAGCCCGTTGACTTCACCTATAATTATTGATTCAATCAATCTAGGCTTCTAGCCCATTTTAAATGTCAAGCAGGCTCAGATAAACCCAGGCCCAATCCAGTGTACATTCTGTGGGCCTTATCCAACTAGTCTCCCATGCACAATTAAGCCTAGCTACGAAGCTGACTGGACTGATGCAATTCTCAAGTATATATATATATATATATATATATATATATATATATGACTTACATCAAAAGAATAAAAAAAAAATCTTCCATAATACTTGACAAAATGAGCTAACAAAATATTTTACTAATATGACAAAATCAGTATTGAAAAATGATTGTTGGATCAAAACTTTTGAATAAATTTTTAAGTGAAGGCCCCCACTGCCCCACACCAAGGTGCTGGACCCTCAACCAACAGTTTGGTCAAAAACATATTTAGGTTAAATGAGTTTGATTGATTTGGATTGAAATATTATTAAATCAAAATCAAACTCACTTATTTTGTACAGAATAAAGGATTTTGAGGAACAAAACAGATGTATTTCATACTTATTATAAGAAAATAATATTCAGTATTTCTTTTATTAATAAAGAAAACTTCATTATTATTATTTGGGCAATTTATTTATTTATTTTTTCCTATATTATTTAAGCAATAAACTTCGCCATTATTGTAGTACTCATGGGATGTCATTTTGGCATTTCACTAATTGAAATTAAAATTTTAAAGCCTTGCCGAAACC